AAACTCAGCTGAACTTCACAACTACATTAGAAGGGACAAAATTATCATTTTTAAATTATAAAAATATTCCAAAGCATACAACAGCAATGGTGTTGTAAAATTCTACCAGGACAACATATATTCAAAGACAGAACTTTCAAGAAATTTTCACCTCTTCCAGTAACAGGAATTCCCTGAAGAACTGGCAGTCTTTTAGGCTGCTATTGCTCTTATTTCATGGAATGCCACCTGTCACTATAAACAGAGCAGCTGATCACACCAGCAGGGCATTAAAACAGCAGGTGCTGTATTTACCTGCGCTGATTCTAACTCTCCAGGGAAGAGAGACAATGAAAATCCAGCAAACACTATTAAATGCACAAATGCCTAAAACATTCTCTGCCTAACTCTGCAGCTCACACAGCAAAAGCAAAACTAGTCTAAGAAATCCTGAGATTCTGTCATATCTGCTCCATGGCCATTTCCTTAATGGCCTTCTGCTGTAAATTTAACGGAACTTAGATGGAAAAATGAACAGACTGCCTAGTGCACTTAATGTATAGTGTTCCACCTCTATACTGGAGCTGCTGCATAATTAAATATATCACTTGTTTTTCCCCACCACAGATTACAGTTATTAGCTGAGAAATCCTACACATTGTTTCAAAACAAAGTTGTTAATGATTGACAAAAGTCATGCAACAACTAAACCCAAACAGCAATTGTTAATAGAATTCTAAGTTTAAAAAAAAAAAATGGTACCACTGTTGGTTTTACCCCTTAAGATAATTCCAGATTGTCTGAGATTTATATCAGTTGTTGCTCCTATCTGAAAGAACCTCAAATCCTCTAGAATTCAGAGTTACTCTCTGTTGAGGTAATTACAGACAAAGGAACTATTTCAGTGGTAAACTCCAAACTGTGCAGGTAAAGGGAAGTTTTCTTCCATAAACACATACAAAATATTGCCAGGGTGCACACAGATTTCTTTATTAAAGAATCCACTGCCGTAGCACAGCTAACTTTATCAGTCAGACCACAAAGCTAAAAAAGGAACTGGAGATCTGTGTGCAGTCCCAGCATCATGATCTCACTGGAATTAGAGACGTGGTGGGATAGTTCACACGACTGGGGTGCTGCCATGGAAGGCTGTGTGCTCTTCAGGAAGGACAGGCTGGGAAGGTGACGTGGTGGAGTTGCTCTTTGTGTTAGAGAGTAGCTGGAATGCATGGAGCTCAACCTGGGAGTGGATGTTGAGCGAATTGAGAGCTTGTGGGTAAGGATTAGAGGGCAGGCTAATGTGGGAGACACTGTGGTGGGTGTCTG